AGAAAAAAAGAAGAAATATATTTTGGAAACTATAATTATAGATTTTATTGTTTCGTATTCATTTTTTGTATTATAACCTGTTAGAAATAATAAACTTGATTATATTTCAAATGTCATATTTCGTTCTTTTCTTTTTATTGTCACGATTATTTACGTCTTACCAATTAATATAAATAAAATAAAATAATAATATGTTAATGTTAATTAATGTTGATTTAAATGATGGAAAATTTGAAAAAAAGAAAATTAAATTAAAATTAAAATTAAATTAAATCAAGAAATGGAAAAAATTGTTGAAATACTAATTATAATAAAATATGAAATTTAAATATGAAATGAAACGAATGATGGAAAGGAACTTACAAATACATTTCCATAAAATAATAAAACGACTTATAGGAAATCTTTTAGATTAATAATAATTTATACTTTTCCTAATTAATTATCAATTTTAATTACTTTAGAAAAGATCCCTGAACTCAATTAAATTCAATCAAGATTTTTAGATAGAAAAAATATTAAAAATACAGCAATACAAAATTTCCTATATTTCTATATTTGATAAATTGATTATTATTGTTATTCATTCTTTTTTAATGGCAAAATAATTTTTATTATATAATCAAAAATTCTGAACACGTACGTAGTTTTAATATCGTTTATTTCTTTTTTCATCATATTAAGGAGTTTAAAAATCTTGAATTTTTTTCACAAATAATCATTTCATAAAAATTCCTCCTCGCGTATTAATAAAAACGGATGTGACAATTTTCCAAGAAATTGCGATGCGTTGCATAGTCTGATAGGTCAAACAATCAACATTCATTTATTAGTCTCGTAAGCGAACCAACGTCAAGTACTTTACGAGCTTTTTATGATCGCACATTTTATCAGATAAAATCTACATGTTATAGCATTTCACGCTACATATTAATTGACTAAGACTAAAGAAAAATATGTCCCTTTCATTGGAAACCATATTGATTTTGAATTAATTAAATTTTCTAAAATTCCTAAAAGCTTGAAAAAAAAAAAAAAATTCTTGAAATCTAACATGTTTTCTGACCATTTTAATACTAATCTTATACATTAATATATTAATTACTCATGGGCATAATAAATCTTATCGAAAAATCAAACGTATTCGTTATATACTATTTTAATTAACTTTATGCTTTTTTTCAAACATCTGAAACTCTTTTTTAGAAAAAAAAAAAAAAAAATATTCTGATAATTGTGCATGTCTAAATCAAAAATTAATTGCATCACATCTAATTGCACATTAACATATAACTTATATTGAATAATAAACGCGTTCAAAAAAATTTTTTCATCTCTTTTTATTATTTTTTATTATTAATTTTTTGATTTAAGAGATTTGTAATCTTTAAGCGAAATTTGTTCAATATTTGCATCGAATAAATTTTGCTTAATTCAACGTAAAATATAAAATATACTCTGCAATTTATCGATGAATTTTTCTATTTTAATTTCGAAATTTTTATTCCCAATATTAAAATCATAATATTACAAAATAAATTCATTCATCAACTGAATTTCAACTGAATTTTAAATTCCATTATATTTCATTCTTTGATTTTACAAAATACAATATTATTTTAAATAAATTTCACCGATATTTCATTTTATTATTAAATAATTTCACATCGTATAAAGAGCAATATAAAAATTTAATTTTCCATTTTTTTCAATTTTTTATTTTAATTTTCAGATTTTAGTTTTACAATAATCCTTTTATCTTTTCAAAAACAAAATTTCCATTCAATTTAATAATTTAATCCTATTAAAATACAATACAAATATATTATTGCTCTTTATTAGATTTATTAAAAGTAATGTAATAATATAAGTAAACAAAAATAAATTCATTGCCATAAATATCCTATTATGCAATACGCGTAATGCCAAATAATTTACATTGTCACTGATTATTATCACATTCGTATTCCATATATTAAGTGTACAAAGTGGACACTTTATTCATTAAAAAAAAATATTCTATTTATATTACAAAATATATTTTTCATTCCAAAACTATTTCAATATAAATCAGTATACAGTGACGTGCCAAAAAATATTGCTCTTAAAACTTGTCCATTAATCTTCGCTTTAACAAAACAATGTAATGCTTAGAAAAAAAAGCTATTCTTTTTTATAATAAATTTTATACGTGTAGGAGTTTATAAAATTACAAATTTTTTAATAAAGCATTTTTTTTTTGTATCAACATATACCTCAATAATAAAAACATGTCTTCTCAATTCTCAATAACTTAATAAAACTAACGTAATAAAAATGCACTGCCGACCAAAAATGTTCTTGTATCACTATCACGTGTTCTATAGAAACAAAGAAGTAAAAAAAAAAAAAAAAAAAAAATCAAGCAATTAGAATTTTTATGCTACCTTCTATCGATTATTTAATTAAAAAATTATCAAAATAGAAAAATTGCTATTAACATCTAACAATAATAGATACATCTGGAAGATTTAAATATATCTGAGTGAACAATTTAATTTAAAATTTTCAAAAAAAGTATACATGCTCGGTCAAGTCAGATAAGATAAAAATGATTAATTTAATCATGAATTCCCTAAAAAATTTATTCGATTAAATTTTGCACGTCACTGTATCGAGGATGACCTACTTTCCTATAAATGTAATATTTTAAAATATTTTTTCGGAGAAATTGATTTTCCAAATGTTTATCAAATTTTTATCGCCTATGACACGTTTTTTTTTTTAAATATGTAGGTAATTATTTACGAAGAGACATCTCACCGATTGAAGAGATATAACATTTTATATCACAAAAATCTTTTCAACGTGATTTCATAATATTATATACATATGTGTTTAATATATTTTTTTTTTGGAAGATTAATTTTTAAAACTTAGTTTTAGTTTGATTAAAGTTTAAATTAGATTTGAATAATAAACGATAAAGGTAATTGAATTAAAGGAAAAGCAAACGAAACAATATTATAACGTAACCTAATCCAAATCCAAATCCATTTTAACGTGTTAAATATCGGAAAGTTGCACAATGTTGTGAAAAACATTTTTATTACTAATTTTTTAATAAACAATGGATAACGGCTAAAACTTTTGAAAATTATATTTTATTGTATTTTAAAGGAATATTTTTATTGATATTTCCAAAATTAAAATTAATTAATAACCGAGCGTATATAATATAGAGAAAAGTTGTTCGAATATCGCGAAATATATTATAAAATCGTTGATCCGTACTCTTCTTGTAAATAATTACCTACCCTCAAGTATTCCTATTTAAATTTATTTTCATTTCCATAGTTAAATTTGACCTCAATCTTCTATAACTTTTAAAAAAAAAAAAAAAACAACCGATAAAAATTAAACGACAATGCAAAATCCACGAGCGAAATAAATTCACGAATCTTAGTCAAATAAATTCATTTATGAAAAATGTAAAAAAGGAACAAAAATCATACAAACGAGAAAATCGAATCGTTAGATATAATTCTCTTTTATAATGACGGAATTGGAAACGTGGAAAAGAATCGATATGCGCAACAGGCCTCCCAATACGGATGATTGTCAGCTCTAATTAGAGACATCACTCGGATCTAGGTAATGAGAACTGGTGCGAGCGAAATTCAATAAACCGGGAAAATTGAGAAAAGAAAAGCAAGTGCGCTTCGATTCTTAGAATTCGAATATACAAAATCAGAGATATAAGCATCGAAACTCCATATATCCATTTATTTTGTAATGTAAATAACATTAGTGTTTTCTTTTGCTAACTAAATATCTAAATTTTTATTTTTAATATTCGAAAAATTAAAATTCTATAAATACATCTAACTACGGTTCAGAACGAACGGTTTTAGACAGTTTTGATATTATATCTCTGGAATAATATTTTATTAAATCAAGGTTTAATTTCGCTATATGCGTCGAATTCGAGTCTTCTATTTCCGATTTCTCTACTAATACAATAGTTTCCAACGAATCTTCAAAGAATTTTTTGGAAGATCGAACAATTGTTATTAAGATCGATTCGTCTTCGATCGATCCTTTTGATTAAATGAAAGGGAAAATTTAAGTTTTCGAAGAGGAGAAGGATCGAAAGTTATTTGAATGTTTTAAAAGAGAATCCTAATTCGAAAAGAGGTCGAGAGGATGCTAGGATTGTAAATTCTAGTAAATTCTATCAATGCAACAATATCGATGGAAATGTTGATCGTGAATCGTGATTGCGGTGGAAGAAGTAATTTGATAATTGGCTCACCTTTTAAACATATCTTTTATTTCGTGCTTCATTAATTTATCTTCTGCTTTCGACAGAAAAAACGACAGAAGGCTTTGTTATGGATCGTGAGATCGAACAAATCAGTTTTACAGAATTCTTGTATCTTTTCTCATTATCTGATTAGAACAAATGAGAGATTGAAAATTATTTATTTTTATAAAACAATATTTTTCATTAAGTTAAAACGGAATGTCGTAATTTCGCCAAAGTTTGAAAACTACATTTGAGATTGTTACGAGAGAGACAAATTAATGTAAAATCTGTAACCACGATATCAATTTTTTGATTAAAAACCGTACATTATTTGCATTTTAAAATGAGAATATGATGAATGGAAACAAATTTCATAAAAAGTCTTTTTCATTTCAGCGAAAAGCTGGAACAGAGCAGCGAAGTTTCGAATGATAATGAGAATTTTATTGATTTAAATTTGCTTTGATAATGAATCTATGAAACTGGCATAACCTAAATTTCAACATAAAAGTGGTAAGCATAGAATTAAACATAAATATATCTCGATTTCGTAATTTTTATTTCTTTCCATCAATTTTTCATCACGATCAAAATGAATATCAAACAAATTACCAATTTCCGCCGCAATCTCGTCGATTTAGCAAAGTTTCTCTCGTTCACGCCGAGTCTCTGTGATTCAAAACGATGAGTAAGCAATAATAAGCGATAATTGTGCGTGATAAATTAAATAAATTGTCTCGAATCGCGAGGTAATCGTTCATAATCGTTCGTTTGTATAATGTTAAAAGCGCGAAACATCGTAAATAATAAATAAATAAATAAATAAATAAATAAAATTAGTGCGTTTCGTGACAAACTTTTCACACGAGACAAATGTGATATATCGCGAGAAGAAGAAAAGCAGACTGTCGTTCTTTTTCTTTTCTTTATTTTTTTTTTTTACTTTTCTTCCTACCATCTCTCTCTCTCTCTCTCTCTCTCTCTCTCTCTCTCTCTCTCCAATTCAATTTACGACAGATCTGGAAAACTAAAACTAAAACTTCCTAGCTTAGGTATCTTAAATGTGTCGCAATAAATACATTGTACGAGAGGGAAAAATTAATGAAATGACGTTTAAAAGTTTGTGATAAAGGATTATAGTCACTCTCGTCGAGAAGAATAACATTTTATCATCGTTAAATTTATACGGAATCGAAGTTCGATGAAAAGGAAACACTGCTTCGATTATCATGCTTTTCAATGAATTTAACTCCGATTAAGTGATTAAACAATAATTTTTATATTACGTGACGATAATATTCTTTGAAAAGGAAAGGATCCTTTGTTGTATTATTTCGCAAAAATTGTTTTAAAACAATTGAATGAAAAGATTTTTTTTTTTCTTAACGATTCGTTCTTACGAAAACTTTGTTTTTTTTTTCCTCTCCCTTTTCGAAATTAAAGAAGAATCTTTAAACATTGATTGAAATTTTTAATCAATTTCGAAAATATAAATTATTAAAAAAAAAATAATTATAATTATATATAAATTTCTGATTTAAATCAACAATAAATCATCGAAAATTATTCTTCTTGACGCGTGACGTTTTACCAAACACGAGCGTGTTTCAGCTTATAGAAACTGCAAACTTTGAAATCGGTGTCAAATTTGAAATTTAATCGCAAATTATATCATTGCAACGTTTAATAAACTTTGTCAATTCGAACTGCATACATACATTGGTTTTCTCATTACGAATAATATCATTCCCGCTTATTAAATCAAATTTCGATTATTCATTATACGAACCTTGCAGTTTCTGTTTCGAGTATCGCGTGCAAAATATAGATGATGAGAGAAACGATTAAAATGAAAATAGAAGGAGAGGAATTTTTAGATGTAATCGTACTTAAAATATATACTATAGACAATCAAAAGCGCGTCACAAAGAAACAGAGAAAAAGAGTGTGACGCGTTGTTTCGTGGAATTTCGCCTGGATCGTCGTTCGATTTTACGATACGTTTACGATAATAATGATAACCGTAATGATAACGATGATTGATAATAATAACCGTAACGATCGATGCATACTATCGCAATAAAACGAGGATTAAATGATGATGTAAAACAGGATAAAGAATAATTAATAATAATAATAATAATAGAAAAAGAAGAAGAAGAAAAAATGAAATGAATGTCTTGTAAATAGTAAGTGTATAAATTGTCATTGTATAGCGATCACGATATTGTAGCAGGATATACGATTGTATTTTAAATGTCCACTATTTCTTTTTGTCATAACTTATTCAAACGAGGATCAGTCGAAATAAAGATTGTTTTTTGAAATTTGACACCACTTGTCCTACAGATGAGAAACTATGAGAATAATTGGTCGTGTGAATTTCCTATATTCCGAGTACAGGTACGTACAGTATGAAATTGTATAGTATATTAATGTTAAGTTTATATGTTTGATGTAAGTTTAGATGTAAGTTGTTAAATTATTTGAATATTTATGATCAGATGGTATTAAAATTCGGTTTAAATATTAAACAATTTTGTAAAATTTTTGTATTATTAAATCTACCTATGACATTTCTAAATAACACGAGATATTTC